CTTCACATGGTGAGGGTGGTTCTTTGTCAACTGTGGCTGTCGCCTTAGCGCCGCGCACATTCGTTTGTAAGATGTGCAAGAGGTCCACGAATTCCCATGATCAGGCTACCACAAATGGCGTTCTGGAAAGGTCCAAGGTTATGAGGGTGCAACAGTTACGTTGATTCGCGGAGTTGAAGTCCCAGAAATGGTGCTCTGGCACGGTTCAAGATCGTCAAGACACAGAAGTCAGATTGATCCGTGGCGTTGGAATCCCGACAACACTGTGTTGACATGCTTCACGGTCTTCAAACGGTTGCCTTCCAACGATGCAGTTCCCTGTGGACGTGAACCGTTGTATGGGGCGTATGAAGATGGAGCTTGGAGGGAGGGTTGATTCCAACATCGATTATAACTCCTGCTCCTCCACCTCCGCATCCTCCTCCACCTCATCCTCCTCCACCTCCTCCTCCCCCTTCTCTCCTCTTCCTTCTCCTCCTCCCCCTCCTCCTCCTCCTCTTCTTACTCATCACCATGCTCCCCCATTCCTCCTCCTCCTCCTCCTGCATCTCCTCCTCTTCCTCCTCCTCCTCCTCCTCCTCCTCCTCCTACTCCGCCGCCTCCTCCTCCTCCGCCTCCTCCTCCTCATCATCATCCTCCTCCTCCATCCACTCCCATTCCTACTCCTATTCCTCTTCCTCCTCCTCCTCCTCCTCCTCCTCCTCCCCTCTCCTACTCCTACCCCTCCTCCTCCTCCTCCCCTCTCCTCCTCCTCCTCCTCCTCCTCCTCCTCCTCCTCTCCTCCTCCTCCTCCTCCTCCTCCTCCCTCCCCCTCCTCCTCCTCCCTCCCCCCCCCATTTCCAACTCCTCCTCCTCCCCCTCCTCTCCTCCTCCTCCTCCTCCCCTCCTCCTCCTCCTCCTCCCTCCTCCGCCTCCGCCTCCGCCTCCTCCTCCGCCTCCTCCTCCTCCTCCTCCTCCTCCGCCTCCTCCTCCTCATCCTCCTCCTCCTACTCTTAATCCGCATCCCCGTTTCCTCCTCCTGCTCCTCCTCCTCCAGCAGTATCACCGCCACCATCGTCATCATCAAAATCATCATCATCATCATCATCATCATCATCATCATCATCATCATCATCATCATCATCATCATCATCATCATCATCATCATCATCATCAGCAGCATCAAAATCATCATCATCAACATCATCATCATCAGCAGCATCATCATCATCAGCATCATCATCATCATCATCATCATCATCATCATCATCATCATCATTAGAATCGTCATCAGCATCATCATCATCATCATCATCATCGTCATCATCATCAGCATCAGTATCAGCATCAGCAGCATCATCATCGCCCTCGTCATCATCGTCATCATCATCCTCCTCATCATCATCATCACCATCATCAGTATCAGCATCCGTATCAACATAATCATCATCATCAGCATCATCATCGTCATCCTCAGCAGCATCAGCAGCAGTATCAGCAGCAGCTTCAGCATTAGCATCATCATCATCAGCAGCAACAACAGCATCAGCATCATCGTAATTATCAGCATCATCATCAGCATCATCATCAGCATCATCCTCATCAGCATCATCCTCGTCATCATCATCATCATCATCACCATAATCATCATCATCAGCATCATCAGCAGCATCAGCATCAACATCAGCATCATCATCATCATCATCAGCATCATCATCATCATCACCATGATCATCATCCTCATCAGCGGCAGCATCATCAGCATCATCAGCATCAGCAGCATCAGCATCATCAGCATCCTCAGCATCAGCATCATCAGAATCATCATCATAATCAACATCATCAACATCATCATCATTATCAGCATCAGCGGCAGCATCATCATCATCGTCATCATCATAATCAGCATCCGCATCCTCATCAAAATAATCATCATCATAATCGTCATGAGCATCATCATCATCACCCTCGTCATCCTCATCATCATAATCATCATCATCATCATCATCATCAGTATCAGCATCATTATCAACATCATCATCATCATAGTCATCCTCATCAGCATCACCATCGTCGTCATCATCAGCATCATCAGCAGCATCATCAGCAGCAGCTTCAGCATTAGCATCATCATCATCAGCAGCAACATCATCAACATCATCGTAATAATCAGCATCATCATCAGCAGCATCATCATCCGCATCATCAGCATCACCATCATCATCATCATCAGCAGCAACCGCATGATCATCATCGTCATCATCATCAGCATCAGTATCAGCATCAGCAGCATCATCACCATCACCATCAGCAGCATCACCAGCATCAGCATCAGCAACAGCATCAACATCACCATAAGCATCAGCATCATCATCAGCATCATCAGCAGCATCATCAGCATCAGCATCGTCATCATCATCATCAGCATCATAGACATCATAGACATCATCGTCATCATGGGAAGCTGTGTCATCAAAATCAGCATCAGCATCAGCATCATCAACAGCAGCACCATCATCAG